ATTGCTCTTTCAAGAAACCCAGTCCGCCGCCAACGCTGTAACCATATAGATATACGATATCACTTTGTTCGATCTGTACTCAGCGATGGGAAAATAACCATTCATTACTGTCTTACAGAGGAAATGGTAGCAGATGTTTTCACCAAACCTATGTCCAAAACAAGGATGGATAAGTTTGTGATGTTTATATTTGGCATTTGAAGAGTTTTTGTTTGTGTTTGATGTATAGGAATGTATTTTGCCAATTTAAGAACAAGTGGGGGTGTTGACTGTTTTGATTTGTTTGTTCCATTTGTGTTCTTAATTGAATGACCTGGAATCGGGTTGTGGGCGGAGCTACACACCTGTGAGAAATAAAAGGGCTGCTCATTCACAAAAAAAAAAACACAATTGTAGGCCAAACGCAAATACGACTGTGTGTCTATTTGTCCTCCGATGCCGGTTTCCAACTCTTATTCAGCATGGCTGCGCCAACAATACATACATACATACATACTCTTCTTCACTAGAAAAAAAAAGTTTCACAGTGATGTACGGCCAGAGCGCGGCTCGAACAAGGCACCATGTCGAGCGATGAAGTAAGTAACATTGTTACTTTAGTCTAATATTTGTAAAATTCCATGACAATATTAGCATTTTTATTTAGCCATGACACTCGTGATGTAAAGCAAGTGCTCCTTCCTAAGAAATATTCATAAGCCAGTTTTGTGACTGGCGAGCAAGGCAGTAACATGATGCTACTTTATTAGCATAAGGCTTTGTGGCTGCAGGTGATTTCTGATGTTTTTAGACACATTAGTTATTTTTTTGCACTAAGCTTACTAACAAGCTAATGTTATTGTTTATACATCATGTAAGAACATCCAATTAGGGCTGCAACAAACGATTATTTGGATAATCGATGAATCGGATGGGGTCTCGACACGATTAATCGATTGATCGTATTACATGGGGACATTTTTAAAAACTGCTAGGGAAACGTTATTTCTCTCCTTCCTTCACTTTATTAAACACAACATTATTAGAAAACAGTTCAATAGGAGAAAAACAACATGCCATCACCTAAACTGTCTTATAAGGTGTATAGACAGAGACCCTAAGCTACACCTATCTGTGACCTAAAATGCTTGGTCCAAGTTAAACAGCTTAAAGAGCAAGTCAACCCCTACCAGAGTCGAACTCCACTCCCACTTCATGTTTGAAAAATGCAACACATGCTGTTGCCTGGCAGACCGAGAGGGCGGAGCCGCTAACAAATACACACACACACACACACAGGCTCACGACAGCATTGTGACATCATAATGTACCAGTTTACATCATAGCATACTTCTTAGCCAATAGCAGTGGCAGATTTAAATTAAACTACAGTGCAGAGTTTTTACCTGACAACGGCACAACACTGCCAGTTTTAGGCAGAATATTAAAATTTTAACTAAGATGCACTGAAGTGCCAAATTATGACAACACGTGTCTGCAGCACGATTAGACACTCATTTATATAGTTTATCAGCAAAAAAAATGTTTATTTGGGGGTGATTTGCTCTTTAAGGGGAATTCTCATCTGTTTTGTTTGATCTCATCTGTAGACATTTATAATAACTGGGGATGTCAAACAACTAATTTTTAAATGTAATTAAACATAGACTGTGAATGAATCAAAATTAATCACTATTTCCAAAAATGACTGAAAAAATACCAAATAAAACAAAAGTAAATGAATGCCATCCTCCTTGTGATGATGCCATAGGCAACTGCCATAAAGTCACATCAAGAAATGCTGCTGATCATTCCAATGATCCCAAATAGACTCACATTAGGCCTAGGGTTGTCACGATACTAAAATTTCAAACTCGATTCGATACTTGAAAAAAAAAACTCGATGCTCAATACTCGATTTCGATACTATTTAAAAACACCCATTTATCGAACAAGTTTATTCAAAAAATAACATTCCTCAATTTATATTACAAAAATTAAATGTTAAGAATTAAGTGTATTAAGTGCTTAAACCTTTCAAGTATCAGCATTTTTTTAAAACGTGCATACAAAAACTGGTGAAAGTTAACACTTTAAATCATGAATTGTCTCACTATATATACACTATTTGCAGAGTGATGTTTTGCTGCTTAAACTCTGTTTAAGGTGCATTTTTGTCATAAGATGTAATGCCATATGTTTTGTTCTGTACTTTTGAACAACTCTGTTGGTCAATAAAGGGAGAAAACGAATTTCTCCACAGTAGGACACAGGTACATCTACAGGTAATCTTAATAAAAACAGACTGGCGCACGGCAGTGACGTCATTAAAAGCGCCGGTTGGATTAGCCGCAGCTAGTCTGTTTACGCCTAGAAATCCCAGACCAGACCCGCTCCAAACGAACAGGGGAATCACGTTAATGATTCCTAACAAAACCTTTCGACATGAAGATGTTTAGGTCCAGATAATGTCTTATTTCGAGGCTGCACCATGGGTGCCCGTCCGCACCCGTTATATGGATATACGCTGACGGCGATTCGGCGATGGATCTACGGTAAATACCCCGGGGAATCCAAGTAGCACCAAAGTTGTCAGCGTGAGTAAACAAACGTACTGCATGCTAGAAATTAAGTCCGGGTTGCAATAAAAGGGAGTTTCCTTTAAGCACATAAGCGTGAATATACAACTACGTGTCGGACTTGGTGTGCTAATTAAGTTGGGCTGTGAAGCGCCTCCCAAATGCGCTGTTTATGTTTTTGTTTATTTATTTGGCAGACAAAACTTGGATTGGAGACAACTCGCGTGGGAAATTGCAATGTAGCCATGCAGCGTCTTCTTCTGTTTGTCTGGGAGGCGGAGGCTGCTTTACGGCATCTGGCTGTCGTGCGTGTCGGTGTACTTGAAGAAGGCTGTGTATAATAGTCCATAATATCGATACCACAGGGATGGAATATCTCATTTAGATACCACTTTTAGTATCGATTTATATCTGGGTATTGATTTTTTTGACAACACTAATTAGGCCACATGAAAGCAACTGAACCCAATAATATATTAACCAGTATTTAACTACACTCTCACACAACACGCCTGCAGCAAGAGTTAGTACTTCTCCCTCCCTTTTAAAAGCGTTTTCGCTTCCGAGGACATTGTGGTTGTAAAACCACATGGCCCCGGTGTGATCAACCAGTTTCTGCGGGAATGTGACGGCGGAACCGGTTTGTAGCAGCGCAAGTCCCCCCCCCCCCCCGTTTATCTAATAGCGTCGCGCTTACGATTTTATAGACTTTTTTTTACGAGCTTAGGGCATGTCTAGCCTGTGTAATAATCCGGGGCTTGGGTGAATCACTTTTGAAAAGTTTTTAACTTACCCGGACACAGAGCTCTCTCCCTCCTCGCTGATGATTCGGCATGCTTGCGTTTAAGATGCTGCATCATCACCGTAGTACTCCCGTGCCTGCTAGGTCTGACCTACAAACGTTGCAGGTAACGAATGTCTTCGCCTGATTTAACTGAAAATGCTCCCAAACTTTAGAAGTTTTTACTTTTTTGGGTCTCGCTGCTTCTGCCATGTTCCTCTTCCGAACACCTGCCGGCTCTATCCCTCGCGCTGATCTGACTTGCTTCTGGTCTGTGCGCAACGGCGGCCGGGGGGGGGGGGGGGGGGGGGGCTTTTGGAAGAGTTGTGCAACACAACGAATCGATGACGCAATTCGTTGCCAACGCTTTTAGTAATCGATTTTCATCGAATTTATCGATTCGTTGTTGCAGCCCTACATCCAATTTCAAGTCACTGACATCATTTGTGAAACCAATTTCATTACAGGACAGGCATCACAACAATGTAAATAGGAATGTAAATATCAATGTTTAGTTAAAAAAAATGCATCAAATAAAATCATAATATCAAGAAGACCTACAGGGTAATACAGTCATTTTTATCATTACTATCATTGATTTTCAGGAATTCACATTGGAAGGAGTGATGGAAGACAGTTCAGATGAGTGTGTGCCTGAGCCTGCCACAGACTATGATGTGTCGTGGGAAAGTCTGAGACCAGGGGATACAGGAAAGGGCAGTACAGGAAAGGGGAGAGGTAAAGGTCGCTCCGAGGGTCAGGGAAGGACACGCTCAAGGGGTGAGGGCAGCAGGTCGAGGTCCAGAGCTCCTTCAAGAGGACCAGGGCGCCGGGGCAGGCAGCGAACATCAGCTTTCAGAGAAGAGGACCGAGACTGGCTTTCACAGCTGAGAGCTGCCAGTATAGCTGAGATGCAGGTTGGTTGTAACCATTTGTATAAAAAGAAAAAAAAAAAAGAAAAATAGGGAGATGCCAAAAACTAAAACATCACTCACTGGAGATATGAATCTAGTCATGTAAACATATGTTCTTTAATTTCTAGACAGCTTTACAACACTTGAGCCAGGAGGAGAGAGATCATATTCTCGAGAGAGTGGTGACCCGTCTTCCAGGGGTGATGCTGGATATCCTGGAGTTTCGGCAAGAGACGCCAGGACACCATCTTCCTGATTGAGGGCAGCCTGCGTGGTGCACTTGCCAGAACTGCCGATGCATGCCTACACAGATTGAAAATCTGTGCTGTAGGCAGGTTCCAGAGCTCTGTCTAAGCAGAAGTGCTCACCTGGAGCTATACTGCTTGGATGAGGGCACACTGTGTCTAGTGAGGATGACCTGGAACGACATCTTCACCTTAGAGGACAACCAAGATGTGGGCACAGACAACTGAGTTTCGTTTTGCTGCGTATCATCAGTTTACAGTCGGGCAACATGGGCGTCTGGGAAGAGGAAGTCGGAGACCAATTCCAAGCTGCTGTGTCCTACGTATACGGGAAAAATTCCCTGATCCATTTGGGAATTACACTGGCTACAAAGAAGCACCATTTAGGGTGGCAGACTAAAAATCCAAACCGTTTATCTACAACTACAGTAGTTCCAAAACAGCACAATACCTCAAAATAACTTTAGCTGAAGACAGCATTTTCACCCAAAAATAAACAAACTGATTGTGCAATATATTTATTTTTATTTATGTACAAAAAAGTTCTGTTATTTGCATTTGTACATAGTATTTTTTCTTAATTTCTAATAAATCAGTGTGCATGAAAGAAGTCATTCCTGTCTTTTGATGCGTCATGTAGCTGGGGCCTTTATGGGGAGAGGAGAACAGCAGCATTAGATCATATAGCAAGGCTCCATCCAATCTGGTAACTGTCATTTCAACTTGACCTTGGCACAACAAAAAAGTGATGTGTTGTGCAGGTAGTGTGAACATTACAAATAGTTCCAGACTTATAAATTAATTACTGGTCTTCTGTAGATTCTTACTTTGTGACTCATAATTGTCTTCTTTCTTCTTATGTAACACAGTTTGGGTAGATGTTTTTTTCCTTTTATATGCAGGCAGCAGAGGGACGATGTTGCCCTCTGCTGCCTGCATATAAATGGAAGCGACGTCTCGAACAGCTGGCGACTGACGAAGGCGTAAGTGATCCGACTGAAGCATGATAGGTAAAAATACATCTACCCAAACTTTGTTAAACAGGAAAAAAGAAGACAATTACTGGTGTATTATAATTGGTGATACATCCAACACTGCAAAAAGGTGCAGCAGATAACTTGTGAGACTGAATATTTTATGCTGAGGTGTTTTTTTTTAACCAGTACAACAATAAACATAATTAGAATTGAGCTGACAAGAAATGTGAGATTTTGGTGAATGACACACCTGTCCTCTGCGAATTTGTGTCTAGACCAGTTCTGGCGTGGGGGGTGCCACAACTCCAGCTAAATTCCCAAGATTTCTTGGGTCACCGGGGTTGCATTTTGCCTTTCTTGGGAGCGCCCCTCCATCCATACGTTTTCTGAGGATGCAACGCTGAAGTTCAGGGATGTAGCCGTAGTCTTTGGCAACCTTGACCACTTGTATGCGGTAATTTTGTAACTTTATGCTGTAGAGCCGCTTGTATCTAAAAGACAAGCATTACAGAATTTACTGAAGGTCCACCTTTTTACATTTTCATTCAATGACACAAATATTTTACAGTAACAAATCCAACAACTTATTTTGAAGTACAGATCATATTCAGTTGCCTTGAAGATAAACAAAACTATTAGACTTACGACTTCTCATTTTTCCGGGTTATATAATCTGGTCAGTGGTTGTGGTGGTTGTAATCCAACGCAGCAAGAAGGCACCTGGCTTCATAGATGGGAGGAGAGAAGGCAAACCTGTTTTGCATGGAGAGGGGGGACAAGATTTATAAAAATTGAACCACATAATTTTCAAGGGACTAATATTGCTAGGACATAACACATGCTTGATATTTCTATTTGTCATTCATAACCTAGAAAATGTAATAATTTCAGTTAGTAATTATAACCAATAATGCACACATCGCTTCATAATCAGAATAAGCTTTATTGCCAGCGCTCCAGCGACCCAGAGCATAGGAACTTGACTCCGCAACACAACCTGACCAAGGTTAAACACACACACATGCAGACAAAAACAGGTACAGGCAGTTACAACAGCAGCCAGAACGGCGCTCAAGAGCAGCCAGAACGGTGCTCAAATAAAATAAAACGGCTTCTAAATAGAATTACCTTTTTCCAACATACATGAGAATGCAATTCTGGAAACTCTCCAGTTCTGAAGTTGACCTGTAAAATAAAACAAAAGCTACAACTTATAGATTATTAGGAATCACACTTTTGATTGCCTTTTCACCCAAAATTGTCATTTCTATATGAAAATTGTCAGCTTTGATATTGACACTTTAGCTTTTTTGCCTATGAAAATGTTATTAATATACCTAAAGGTCAGATTGGTGACATCCTTCAACCAGCGTCTGTTGAACATGATTCGTTGAAGAGCCTCGTGTGGTGGAGATCCTGGCACCATGAGCTCTTTAACACTGGTCGTTGCATCAAGTGGTCCATGGTCACATTTGCCACGGGTCCATTCCCTGTGACATGGTGAAGCACACCCACCCACATTTCCTAACAGAAAAAATAAGTTTTATTTGAAAACTTTACATGTGACAGTGTCGCGTGCACGTCCCATTTACCGGTTCCGTTAGAACTTATGAGACAATGCATCCATCAGGGTTCTAGGGGATGTCGGTGAGTTTTATCGTATCAGACCCGGGGTTGGACCTCCTAATTAGAATCGTGTCTTTTATTTTAAAGGTGAAATGACTTGCACGAATAGTATCCCCAGAGTAGTCCACTTCTTTTAAACTCGTTACCTTTTGGTTAAGATACTAGAGAGAAGTCTGGAGGCAAGCCACGCCTCTCAGCAATTTTTGGGGTTATCTGGATTAATTGCGCCTCTTAACAGCTTATGTGGGAGGTTGGTAACTATAAAATAATTTATGCTAGTTGATCAGGCTAACATAAGTTTATCAATTTTATTTAATTAATCCAACCCCTCCAGCTGGTAGAGACTTTTTCAACCTGCAATCAGAGCCAAAAATAACCTCTAATATTTTGGTTTTATCTCCCTTAAGACAACTCGTTACTCGCAAGGAGGGGGGAGTTAAACTCCCCTTATCTTAAGGTTTCTTTATATTATTTTATTATAAACTGTAAAGTAAGTCCTGATAATTCAGAGACCTATGATCGACATGCTTACCTCTGTGCAATTATGGTCAGGGCTCTAAACGTGAAGCTTTAGAGAAAACCTGAAAGAATCAGGATTATGTTTCTTTTCCAAAAAAGTTTATTACAAAATAGAAAAATACAAAAATGAGTAAATATATAAAAACAACTGCTATCCCCCAAGGAGGGATTAGTTCAAAATGATTAAATAAAAGAGTTAGTTTACACCAGCTCCTGTCTTCTGAGAATCTTCCGTGTCAAGTCTCCTTCAAAAGGGGCCTTGCCCGATCTGAGCTGCATCCTTTTATATCATTCCTGAGACTGCTCTAAACAATGTAAGAGTCACAAGTCATTCTCTCCTGACAGTTTAGGTCAAGGGGTCCTTTACCAAATACACTTTTTAGCTCTACATAAGACATCTGGTATCATTTTCACTACATGCAGTATTCACATGAGGGCACAAAAGTTACATGTTGCACTCCTGGAATGGGAGCACAGGTCATAAATCTTCATGTTGGTAGCAAATTGTAGATCTTCCTTCAGCATTCCTGAGGACTTCTGGGTCCAGATGGACTTTCCTCACTCCATTCCAGTCCTTCTTTTCCCGCCAGAGGAGGAGCCAGGGGAGGGGCCATGGGTGGACCCATGGGTGGATCCAGAGAAGCCAGCCTGCCTTTTGACCTTTTGCCTCGTTCTGTCCCCGCCAGCAAGTCCTGAACCCTTGTCCTCTTGACCCTTCTGTGACCCTTGTCTCTGACCACTGTTCCTAAGTCTTGACCGGCTGGGACTTGCAACATCCCCCACGGGGACGAACTTGGGCAAAAGACCATAGAAAGACAGAGCAGCAATGCAAGCCTTCATAAATCTAGCATCCATCTCACTCAGGAACAGCTGAACACTCAGACACCTAACTGTGGCCTCCATATCAACTCTCATTCTCATCATAATGCCATCATCAGCTACGGGTAAACACAAGGTCCCTTTGCGGGTTGTTACATAACCTTTAAACTGCTTCCTCCCATCTGCGGGATCTTCACCCAAAAAGAATAAAGATAAATCCATCACTGGAGCCTCTCCACGTGGAAGCGATCCCAGCATTTGCGGTGGGAAACTGTCGCTGAAAACCAAAACATGATTTCTCGTATCTAACAAAGGTGCGGTCCCAAAAGAGTCACAGACTTCTGGGCCGAACCATCCAGTCTTTACAGACAAAATATTCATAAACTGAAAGCAATCTATAATCTTGCCTTGACAAACAAAGTAACACCCCTTCTGGGATTTAATCCTCCATCTCATTTCTCTCCCGGGTGCGATTCGGACAGGGGGAGGAATGCCTGCTGGCTCCCTACTTAGACAGACCATAGGGACTTCACTTATCACATCAGGACACGGGACACATGTTGAAGTTGCCGTCATTACTGATACAACCTCTTCAGCCACGTCAGATGAGGGCGCCATTGTCAGCTCCTCGACGTGGGTCCCCTCAAGCAGGTCATTCATGCCAGGAGAGGCCAACATTAGTACGTCGTCCTCCTGACCAGCCTCCCGCTTGAATCCCGTTTCCATTTGGTCTGGACGTACTGAATAAACCTGCAAGACACGCAGCGTTTATTCATCGTAGCATGCTCACACTGGAGCCCGATCGTCTTAGTCTGAGGCAATCCGTCCCTCCTGCGATTCACGGTGCACAAATAGTATGTGCCATTCAGAGAGAAAACAGTTGGTGGACTTGCAGAGGGGATTAATCCCTCTATGATATTCTGCAGGATCGAATCCATCTGTAAGGAACATAAATATGTCCCACATGAGATATATAACTCATTCTATGAAGCAATAAGTAACTGCATTACTGCATAAACACTTCTTAATTATAGGAGAAAATAAATCAGCAGAAGCTGCAGGAAGAATCACACCACAATTCATCTGCAGGCATAGTTTTACAACAAAAAATCCTCATAACAAGTTTACACCAGTTATGAAATGTCTACAACATCCTAAAGATAAACTGGATAAAATAATTATAAAATCCTAACATACCTCAAGATTCAGAGCGTCAAGCAGTTCAGATTCAGGGTGAGTTTGATGAGCCATTTGTGTTCACTTCAAGTTACAGCCTGACAGTTAAGGAGCAAGTGACATGCTGGTACATTCAGAGAGCCTGTACTTAAACAGGAGCAACAAGAGGGGGGGCTAATGCTCCCCCTGTCTTGACACCTCTCTTCCCATCTTATCTGGATGCACCAGGTCAGGTTTTCTTTCTCCTAACAGCCTTCTTCCTGTCAACTGCCACTTGTTGTTTTTACAGGCCAAAATCATACCGATTATTAAAATAATCACCCCACACATTAATCCCAGTGCGCAGAGGGGCCAAAAGAGAGCATCCCAGACTGGCCTAATGATGTGCTCTCTCACTCCTTTTACCAAAGTTTCCATTGAATCGGAAGTTCCTTGAATTACATTATTAGAAACTTGCACCACACTGTCACTCACAATCTCCCCTACACCACGAACTATCAAACTCACATGACGTAATGTGCCATTTATGCCATATGCAAAATAATCAAACCAGTCGGCTTTTTGCTGATTTAACGATCTTCGAAATGGTGAGCAAAAACCACTTCTCAGGTCCCAATTTGGGAAATTTCTGAAGTTAGGAAACTCTTTGGGTGTGTCAGGGTCAATTGTGAATCTTTCAGGCTGAGGATTTTTCCCTATTCTAGGTTCATTAAAACACACATGATGGTCTATACCTAGTCCGTTAAGGTAATTAAAATTAACCAGACTAAACGCTCCCCACTTAGTTGTTCCTGGGGCTGTGAATCCAGGGGGCACAAAGTCTCCAACTTTATCATTCATAATTATTATACGATCTAAAAGACCATTTCCGGTCTTCGTATCATTTACTTCCCAAGTATTTGATTTATCAATAGAAAACCAATTTGTTTTAACTCGAAGTTGACCATGTTCCATCACAAGAGTTTTAGTTCCCACTAATTTTCTTTCAAAGGTTTCTGCTTCAATCCTTGTGTCCTGGGGATAATAATCATATTTTTGCTTATTATATCCCTCTCCATACCAGTATGTCATAGGATATGTCTCGTACATTCCTTTTCTATAATATCTATAATCTTCTGGAATATTTCTTTGCATATAACCACGTAAGACTTCGTCGTCGTCTTCCTCCGCTTATCCGGGTCCGGGTCGCGGGGGCAGCATCCCAACTAGGGAGCTCCAGGCCGTCCTCTCCCCGGCCTTGTCCACCAGCTCCTCCAGCAGGACCCCAAGGCGTTCCCGGACCAGATTGGAGATGTAACCTCTCCAACGTGTCCTGGGTCGACCCGGGGGCCTTCTGCCGGCAGGACATGCCCGAAACACCTCCCCGGGGAGGCGTCCAGGAGGCATCCTGACCAGATGCCCAAACCACCTCAACTGGCTCCTTTCGATCCGGAGGAGCAGCGGTTCTACTCCGAGTCCCTCCCGAATGTCCGAGCTCCTCACCCTATCTCTAAGGCTGAGCCCGGCCACCCTACGGAGGAAACTCATTTCGGCCGCTTGTATCCGCGATCTCGTTCTTTCGGTCATTACCCAAAGCTCATGACCATAGGTGAGGATTGGGACGTAGATCGACCGGTAAATCGAGAGCCTGGCTTTCTGGCTCAGCTCCCTCTTCCCCACGACAGATCGGCTCAGCGTCCGCATCACTGCAGACGCCGAACCAATCCGCCTGTCGATCTCCCGATCCCTCCTACCCTCACTCGTGAACAAGACCCCGAGATACTTAAACTCCTCCACTTGAGGTAGGACCTCTCCCCCGACCCGGAGTTGGCAAGCCACCCTTTCCCGGTCGAGAACCATGGTCTCAGATTTGGAGGTGCTGATCCTCATCCCAGCCGCTTCACACTCGGCCGCGAACCTACCCAGCAAGAGCTGAAGGTCAGAGCTGGATGAAGCTAGGAGGACCACATCATCCGCAAAAAGCAGAGACGAGATTCTCCTGCCACCAAACTCGACACACTCCACACCACGGCTGCGTCTAGAAATTCTGTCCATAAAAGTGATGAACAGAACCGGTGACAGAGGGCAGCCCTGGCGGAGTCCAACCCTCACTGGGAACAGGTCCGACTTACTACCGGCTATGCGGACCAAACTCACGCTCCTCTGGTAAAGGGACTGAATGGCCCTTAACAGAAAGCCACCCACCCCATACTCCTGGAGCGTCCCCCACAGGGTGCCCCTGGGGACACGGTCATAAGCCTTCTCCAAATCCACAAAACACATGTGGATTGGTTGGGCAAACTCCCATGCCCCCTCCATCACCCTTGCAAGGGTATAGAGCTGGTCCACAGTTCCACGGCCAGGACGAAAACCACATTGCTCCTCCTCTATCTGAGATTCAACTA